TCATCACGAATGCCTAAGACAGGCTTAGTAATTGCTTCGCTCAGCTCAATAAGGACAAAAACCACCCTGGACATTATAACCACCCGGACAAAACCCTCCCACATTCGTCTATACCATTGTTAAAAGGTAATGGGGTCGGCAATGGGTGGACAATGTAGGGTGGGCTTGTTTTTATCAACTTGCTAGGTTACATTGTGTTACAGATTAGATTACATAGTTTAATACGGCTTTAATTTAATCAATTTTTATGCCAGTATGCAGGTTAATAAGATCTAGCACTTTAATATATTTTTATCTTTTTTGATGGAATTTTCACTATAACTATGAGTAAAATCAAAATGAGACATGTAATTTAGCAGTAAAACCAGTTTGTTCCCACAACAGTGGATACAATTTAACAGTGGATACAAATTATACCTTGTCTAAAATGATGAATCGAATAAAACAAATTTATATTTGGCCAATTAGCACACTCACCGCCACGAAAAATGGAAATTTCAGAAGAATAAAATGTTGCTTTATTTTTATTTTTTGGGCCTACCATGTTGTTTAATACGACAAATAATAAATTTAAAGTGTTAAAAATGTTGTAGGGCCTATATCGCAGGGAAATATGCAAAGGAGCGGACTGTCTCTTATACACATCTAGGAGCGGAAATCAAGCTTTAATTAGCAAAAATCTAATGATGGTCACCGAATGGGTATTTTATAAACCGAGAGAAAAAATGGAAAACAGATAGGAAAATTCATAACTGTGAGTGAGAGGACACAATCTTATAAATACTTGCACTATATTGGGGTTTACATTTCTTCTAATAACAAAAAAAAAATACAAAAACAAAAAAAAAGAACAAAGTCATTCTAATCTAAAAGAACAAGATTGCACACTGTCGAAAAAAATATATGATCATATGCTAAGGTCTGCTAAGAGAAGCTTATCCGACTTTAAAGGACGTTCCGCCCTTTTTCTGGAGGTTCCCCCCGCCCGCTCGTTCATTTTTTATGTAGTGATGCTAAATCAATATAGAAACGGTGGTCCCTGAAAAAGGTTCCGGGGGCCCTGATTTTCATTACAAATAAGAAAGAGAGGGGGAAAGAAAAAGATAAAAGGAAAAGAAATGGAAATCGTAAGACAGAAAAGGAAAAGAATAAGAAAAAAGACAGACATAAGAAAGAAATGGAATGGAAAGGAAGCATAAGAAAGAAAAGGAGAGACTAAAACAGAAAATGAAACATAGAAAAAAAAAAGAAAACATAAGGAAGGGAAAAAAAGAAGAAAAGGAAGCATAAGAAAGAAGAGGAAAAGATAAGGAAACATATGACAAAAAAGGAAAGTGTAAGGAAGAGAAAGAAAAGAAAATGAAATATCGAAAGACATTGGTATAACTGTGGTTAATAAAGTAATAAAATGATGAGTCTTGTTACATTTTCTTCTTGTGATATGTATCTTGTTTTTTCTCTACTGCTTGTTTGACACTGCCCAGCACCTATTTAGGTGGAGATGTTTGCCCTTTACAAATCTTTATTATTTATTATTATTATTATTATTATTATTATTATTATTATTATTATTATTATTATTATTATTATTATTAACAACACGATATTCAAACTTAAAACAATGATTAATTTAGTATTTTTGCAAGTACACGACTTTTAAAATCAATAAAGAGATTTTTGCTTTTCTCCCCTTTTTAACTTTCACTTTTGTATTAGTAATATTGCGACTACACTATTGTGAGTGGAAATAATATCAGTCTATTGTCAAATAAAGTGAAATCACCTCGACCTGACAAAATAACGTAAAATTATCAGCCATACATACTGACAAATCAAAAAAGCTCCAAAAAATACGAAATGGTTCTTCTTGCAACATTATCGTTCAAGAGCGAGAATAGCCTAGCAAAAGTGTTTCACGCTGACATTAGCTGTTTTTAGGTCATTTTATGTCTTTCCACAGTCGCATCTGGCAAATATTTGTCGGATTTTTGTCACATTCTTTTCTGCATTTGGAAGGCAATTCTTTTCTGATTGCTTTAGTATTTGTTTCAATTGTATTGCTTGAAAAAGGTCACCATCATTTTTCACTTTTCTATTGGTGCTATGCTGACCGCCCACCGCGCGTAGAGGCTGCATTTCGATCTCTTTTTAGTGACTTCGTTTAAACTGCCATTTCGGCTGTTCACCAATCAAATATCTTGTTGTTCATCCCCCCCACCCTCAGTAAACGGAAAGCTGAATATTCATAGATTCTTCTCATATAAAATATATAAATTGCAATTGGATGAAAAAAATCACCATCAAAACACTAATTTCAATGTGAATGAACAATCCTGTCTAGGCATTATGCCCGAAAAAATGCGAAGTTTTGGTATAGCCTTCCGCTACCATTGTCAGAGGTCTAAAGGCCCTGGCCTTAAAAAAAAAAAAAATACCTACTTCGTTGGCTTTAAATTGCCATTTCGGCTGTTCACCAATCAAATATCTTGTTGTTCATTCCCCAGTTAACGGAAAGCTGAATATTCATATTCTTCTTATGTAAAATATATTTATTTATTTAAACAAATAAACAAAAAAACAAATTGGTTCGTGTGGGAAACGAACACACAACCTCCAGCTTTGCTATTCATTATCCACCATCAACTAAACTGCCTTTAAAAAAAAAAAAACTAAACTGCCTTAAAGGAAAAAAAATTGGTTCGTGTGGGAATCGAACACACAACCTCTATGTTTGCTATTCATTATTCACCATCAACTAAACTGCCTTAAAAAAAAAAAAAAAAAAAAGAAAAAAAAGGGTTCGTGCGGGAATTGAACACACAACCACCAAGTTTCCCGTAACATGATTAGTCTATTTTTTTCTAATTTGCATAATGAATTTTTCAAACATTTTTGTCTATTTACAAAAAGTGCGTAAGTTATGGAGATGCAAACAATCAAAAATCGATTATAAATTTAATTCTACATTTTTAGACAAAAAAAATAAACCCTCTTGGCCCATGGCCCATTTTTGACACCATGACCCATGCGTAATATTAACCTAGAGTGTATATATACAAAGAATTTTTTCTAGTAGGATTAGAGTTGACTAACTGGTACTTGGTGTGGTACTTGGTTTATCGCATTTATGGTTTAGGGGTCGCGGTTTATCTCCCTCCGTTTAGTCATGCTGGATCAGGAGTAGTAAACTCTGCGATCGTGGGTTCGATTCCCACACGGGGCAAGTTTTTTTTTAAATTTTTTTTTGTTTATTTTTTTTTTTTTTTGAAAGTAGGTCGTGGGTTCGATTCCCACACG